TATATATATATATATATATATATATATATATATATATATATAATGTTATTGAAGTTCGAGACCTGCATTTGAGGATTGTAGTAATAAAGGAGTTTGGCAATGGGGATCCAAAACTTCGTCTGCGGTTTTCTGTAAATTACTCATCCATAAACCATTATCGTAACGAACACTTTGCTATAACAAGATATATAATTAGAATACTGTTAACTGTAATTTCACACATCAAGATTAACTTATTGTAATAGAGTAAAACTTGAAATATCGAATGCCAACGAGAAAATAATTATGAAAGGGTAGCCAATTTAGGATGTTTTTAAACAATAAATGCAGCCACTTCTACAGCACTTTGAAATTAGTATTATTTTATCCTCCTCCATCTTAGTTCAAAAAAAATTACCTTTGAAGCGAAATAATTTGTCCATATGAAAATATATGTAGCTACAAAGACTAATAAAGAATTGAGCGCTACTTTGTAAAGTAGGTGATCATCGTGATTGCGAAGTACGAATAAGCTGAGGGAATTATAAGATGCACATAATAAGGTCTGAAAATACCCTTGTTTTCAATTAAATGGTAACTGTGTACATAATTATTTTTTTGGTATATAAATATAAATACCAAGAATCAAGAATTTTTATAAAGTAATTTTGATTTTTAACTGTTCAGTTGGCACATGTCGGTTATAAATTGCTCCACAACTGACCATGTTCAAATGAAATTAACTGAAAAATATGAACGAACCAGGATAATATGTAAGTATAATGTTGTTCGAATGGAATACTGGCTAACAATGTAGTCAAACTGCCTATTGAAAGATATCAAAAGAGCGGTCAGAAACGCGTAAAAATCTGACTGAAATTTTTTCATCATTGTTCACTGCTATTGAAAAGATTTTGTATTTCAGTTCTGCGATATAAATACCAAGGATCGCAAACTTATTTTTTCGCATAGTAATTTTGATTTCTAACTTCAAATCGAAATGATGGCCAAGAAAAACAAAAAATAAGACTTAATTAAAGCAGTAAAATCAAGGGATGTGTGTTACCAGAACAAAAAACGCATCCGGGACCAGAAGTACCCAAAACAATTGCTGACTTGGAGAAAGCGAGCATTGTGGAGTAAAAAAGAACGATATCAATGACGATAAGGCAGGAGTAACTAATGAGCACAAAATTATAATCCAATAACTGAAAGTAAAAAAGTCTAAAAATTAATAGTTACTGAAAATTATTTTCAAGTTAGAACTTTTTAATAATTCATAAGTGAAAGCTAATTTTAGAAATAATGTAAAAAATTCATATACTGATTAAAAAATTGATGTGGTCCACATTATCATCAAAATCACATTAGAAAAATTTTTGTTTCTAATTATTTCCACAATATACTTTGATTGTGGCCTTCCAGTAGCCAAGAGTTGATAAATATGAAATGAATACATGAAAAGCCAAGCAAATACAGCCGAATTACACAAACTAATAATTGTATTCCGTGCAAGGCAAAATACCTGAAAAAATGATTCGTGATAATACTGTAATGAAGAAAAACGGCGTATGTTTCAAAAATAATAAATGCATTTTTCATGTTACATTCAAGAATTTTTAAAAGCCATTTTTATAATGCTTGTGTTTAAAATTCATACAGTTTTATTTTCAAAGCTAAAATGGGAATGCAGGGTTTAAGTGCACAATTTTGCATACACTATTTAGCTGAAGTCGATGAACCAGGAAAATAGCAATTATATCGAGCATAAACATAAGGATGAATCCAAAACGGATCAGTCGCAAATGGAGACAGGGCCGGTAAAGCGTTCTGATGGCTGATAATAAAAGAAGAACCAGAGCAAATGTGACGCACAAAGGTTCAGCATAAGGTATTGCTTTCGAAGGCAGAAAACGAATCTGAAATTTTACATTATTTTAAAATTTGAGGAGATTGCAAATTTACCTATTGTATCTTGCTATGAAAAAATCAATTTACTTACCAAAGCTCCATGATCGGGTTGTATGAGAATTGTGTAAATGCCTGAGTGTTCAAAATTACAAATAGCATGAGTACGATTAAGTCCAGCTAATACTGCATTTCGTCCAGACCATTCCAAAACAGAATAAGAAGTCTTAACTATATTTCCATTAAGCCAATTTATTACTGGTTTTGATTGTTTCCCACTTCCTTTGATCTTTTCAGCAATTACACATTCAGGATACCTCCAAGTTTCTTCGTTTATGGGAAATAGCACTTGAATGGGGCAGGTACCATTATGGTACAGGACTACAATGGGTGCTTCCGAATAGAAATGATTGTTATTGTAGTACATACTATAAGAAACAACATTCTCTGAATAAGCAATGCCATCTTGGCATAAAACTCTTATTTCTATGTTTCGGAAATTGTCCTTGCGCTGATCTATGAAATTGTTGAATTTTGGAAATATATGATCTTCTCTTGAATACATGTCGTCTACGGCGAATACTGAAATTGAGACAAATTGGTGTGAAGCAAAAAATATTTACAAACAAATTTGTGAAAATAAACCAATCTGAAATATTTGTGGAAATAAACCAAAAAACTGATTTATTCTAAAAACGCCAACTCAAGATAGAATAAGTAATAATATTTCTGGGCAGAAATCTAAACTTCATTCAAGTATCATTACGAATGACTGGTTTCAAAAAGAGGTTCTTTTCTTTTCTGAACTAGGTTCTATAAAAATTGTATTTCAGTATGTACGAAGACTGAGAATAAGGAATCAAAGAGAGAGTGTGTAAATTTGTGCCTAAGATAATTGAAGCCAAAAATACGTTTTCAGATGGCATCAAACATTTCAATCACAAGACCATAATTTGAAAAAAAAAAACCAAACCTATATTTTCTCCATAGAAAATAAATGGGCTAAGGTATGAATGATTTCGGTGTAAGTGAGCTAAGTAAATGCCATAATTATTGAACAGGTGTACCAACGCAGCATTTTGAGTATAGTCATTTATGCCTAACAAAATATCGGCTATTTTCAATAAATAATCGGTGTATTCTGCCGACCTGTAATTGTAGATTCTAAAATGAAGAGTACCAGTTAGAGAGAAACAGCTCAATGTTTAACCATTCCCAAGCACAAACTTCAGATGACTTTTTGGAGATTTATCCCCTTGAAGTTCATCCTTGACCAGATATTCCAATACTTGTCTTGCAATCGCAACATTGACACCTTTTAAATGTAGAACTCTGTTTGTCTCGTTCGACAAGCTCTGCGCAAGTGTAATCCGATTATTTGCATCTAGTAACTAAACATGAAATATTTTCGTGACATATAAAAACTTCTGAAAGCTGGGTAATTGCTGATAAAAAATATACAAAGTATTGGAAATTATGCATGCAAGACTCAGTTTTTGGCTTCAAACAAAGTTCAAAATTCTGGAACTTATTACCGATTGAAGAAATAGTGTGGATATTTTGTTAAAAGCAGGAATAGTGCAATTATAGCTGTTCACTTTATCCCAGTATGAAGGTTTTAAACACTTCCGTAAAACCAAACCCTCTTCACCATTTGGGCAGCTCTAAATACATGAAGCGCTGTTACAAATGCCACTATAAAATATAAAACCAGTCATACCTATTAATGTACATTTTCAAATCAAAAGTCAATAAAATATGACTCTAGAAATTTAAAAGATACAGTTTAAAAGATACCAGATTTGATTTAAGAATTATGATATATAAGTTCTCGAAAAACTTCATGAACCTTTAAAGATAAATCAAGGCATTATGATTATATATTACTTGTCTTGCAGTAGCTCCAACAATAGTGGTTGGCCACTGCACACCATATTCAATATTTGATGGACATTTGTTTCTTATCTTTAAGCACTTCAATGTATTTCGATCCAGGACCTCATCAAAATTAGAACAACGATCACAACGACGTCCGACTGATTCACCTGTACATTGGCACTGACCACTAGAAGAACAATTGGAATTTGAGGAACCATATCCACACTCACATGGTATGCATTCATTTTCCGAATAATACGTAGCACTCTAAAATATAATTTTATCCGCGTTTTGAAATCAATTTGCTATTTTGCAAGGGCATTAAGCGATTTAATTTAATATTACTACTTAGAACCTTGCAGAAGCATTCGCCGGTTTTAGTATGACATTGTTTGTCGAAGTTTCTCTTAATATCACAAGAGCAACGTTTACATTTCGGGAAAGCACCATACCATCCTTTAGGGCATATTTGTTCTGCCGTTTTTCGTTCACAATTCTGTCCACTTAATCCCGGTTTGCAGCGACACTCATATCCTTAAAGTTATACTATATTAATTACTACAAATTAAACACTCCTGTCATAAAAGTCGAAACATCCATCTAAAGTTTAAAAAAAAAACCCCAAAATAAAACATCTGAAGGCAAACAAAAGTAAACCAAACCAACCTCGAGAATTATTCGCTCTAAGACATATACCTTGTTCACCACATAAATTTGATAATAAGCAAATATCTACACATCCATCTCCAATAAACCCTACAAATCTTTAAAATAAATAGAAAATTTTGTTGTCACTAAGCTTCAAACCAATCTTTATTGCTGAAAATTTTGAGGGCTTATAATGATCAAAGTTTCTAAAACTGTCAATTTTCTGTAAAGAATCCAAATTTCCATATTTTCATAAAAATTTCTGAAAATGTTTGAAAAATATCTGATTGATACCAGGATAACATTTACAACTATGCCGATCCCATTTTCGAACACAAGTGCTGTGGGTAGGACAGGCGTCTGGGGAACTGCAAGCATTTGGTACCTAAATAACTAGGCTTCTTTTTTAAAAGAATGCTGAATTGTGATAAATATTGTAAAAAGACATGCTTTAATCATGTCACTATTAAAAAAAAAAAACTATTCCAACATGCAATTAAAAACAAATAAAGAAGAAATCAAAAACCACTGATCAAATTTTCCTTAGAAAATTAAAGTTTTTAAAGTGTTCTGCATATAAATGAAAACTTCCATGACAAGAAGTGTGAATAAAATATTTCAGTTCAACCATTTTTTTGAGAAATAAATACTTGACATCCTGGTTTTGTCATCATATTTTCGGCTAATTCCAGCTCCATATCATTAACATAGACATTACGAATACATCCTTCAAATCGTTGTGGGTAACTTGTGGATGGTGCCAAACCCGAATAGATTTTACGTATTTTCCAATATAACAAATTATTTTCCATTGGAATATGCTTCAATAATAAATCAATCAAAATTTAGAGTTATATTAAAAACTGATTAAATTTTTTATTAGAAGGCAAAATATTTAGCTGATTTAATTAAATTACTCTAAAATTCACTGTTACTAAACTAAAAAAAGTGCGTCCACAGCAAATTTTTACAAAAATTATGAAACGAATGTATACAATAAAAATTATAAACCTTTTTGTACAGACGATCAATGATAATTATTACAGTATGGTTTTCAACAACAAAATCAAACATTCTTAAATTTCCATCGCCAAAATTAGGAAACGATAGAGAATACTGCTTGGAACCAATGTTTATTAATCCTTTGCCATGACTAATCTTCATATAAAAATAAAATTTCAAGGAAAAACAAACAAGAAAAAGATGTTTTACATGACAATGCAGATAAAATTTATTAAAAACTTCGGGTCATGAAAATTTTTGGCTTTTAATCTAAAAACAATAAATGTTTAATTAGTGACTTATCTCATTAAATTTAAAAAATGGTGAAAACGATCAATTACGAATTATGGAGTGAAAAATGACAGACCGAAAAAATAATGAACTGCGATCGCTTTGAAAATTCAACAGCGATAATTTGTGCTTCACGTAAACGTGTTCGAAATTCGAATGACAAGGTTCGAAATTTCATATAGCCCGACGGTATATTCCAAAACACAAATGATTCCTCATCATACAAATTTATAAATAAATTTTCTGCAATTTTCAAAAGCTGATAATTTTCTACTTCAATTTAAGTCTCACTCAGTTTTGCAGTAATTCGCAAAGCTATATTTCAGCTCAAAAAATTAAAATTGTTACTACTTTGAATTGTTTTGACATTTCTAAACAGATTTATACTCTCTTAATTAGTGATATTTTACCTGCATCGGCCATACAAGGTTCACCCGTATGCGTCATGCGCTTACATTGACAGTGATATCCATCCCAAGCTGTCACACAAATTGTATTTGGATGGCATGGATTTGTATCACAATCATTTCTTTTTTGTTTGCAGCCATGTTGAACACTACCAACTTTTTCGAGTTCTTCAAAGTTCGAGAAATCAATTAGTTTTCCATCTAAAGTTAGATTTGAAATGCAACCCACAAAGGGGTTTCTAATTCCTGCACCATCATGTTGAGTATCATCAATTCCATTGATATAATTTTGATCCGCAACGTTCAGCGGTTGACTACCAAGATTAATAACGCCGGGAACATCAAAAAATCGATGACAACTTACGGATGCATCGTCACACCTCCAATATTATCGAAATGAACAGTGGGTTTTTCATTAAAGAGCAATTTTTGCATAAATGAAATGTATGAACTAAAAAACTTTTAGAAGCAAAAATCTGCCCATTTTTTCTAAAAAATTTCAGCGCCAGGAGAGATGCTAAAAGATTTTTTGGCTATTGCAAATTAAAAAAATGTATTAGCTGTGTAGATTATGAATAAAGTAAATAAATGTCAATATGTATGTGTATTTACATATCTATCATATATATATAAATTCTCCGCTTTTCCTAGCGGTTGGCTCTGAGGTTGGCTTTGAGTGGCTGTGTTCAACGAACATAAGATGGGGGCTAAAAAGAAAAAGTCCACATCTGAAACCATAAATGAAAAGAATGCAAAAACAGATGCAGTTGAAAAAAGCTATGTGAAGGGTGTAAAAGAACATGCTGCCAGTGTACCAAAATCCGGTGCTAGCAGAATTATTACGCTTGAAGCAATCGTTTGTGGAATCGAAACCTCACGAAGCAAGTGGCCAGAAAAGGTGCTGAAAGCAGTTCTTGGCCGATTTGGAACAATGCAGAGAGGGGAATGGCCATTGTGTCGTTCTTTGTATAGCGAGAAGTTTTGGTGTGTTAAGAACTGAAAAAGCAAGCGAATTCTGTGATCACCAGTATTGCAGGTCGCCCGTGCTTACAGAAACTGTTCTTTGAGGAGTCCACGAAACGTATCAATTCACAAAATACGCACATCGAGGAAAATACGCTACACAAGTCTAAGGTTTATCTGGATGTGAAGGAAAAATATTTAGTGCTGATGCAAGAGGTACAGAGATGTGAGATAAACCAGAAAAAGTGAACGCAAAAAATAGCATCCATGAGCGTGGACACTTTTCTCATACTTGGAGCAATAAACCAAGCGGCGGGTGAATATATGCTACACAAAATCCCCAGACAGCACAACATTATTATGAATTCATGACGAAGCGAGAGAAAAAGCCATCGGGGTGGAAGGCGAGCATAGAAAAGAAGATAAGCTTGTTGAATTTCCACAAATCACTCATAGAAGGGACTTTCGCCGGTGAAAAACCTGGAGTAAAGATTTAAAAGAGGCCAAGAAATGTATTAGGGAGATGAACCTCATACTTGCTCTTAAGCGTGACTGTCATAAAGCGTTAAGCATATTGACAGACCGTGTGAGAGTCTACGAAAGTAAAATAAAAAGTTATGAGACCAGATGTGCATTTAAAATACAAAACGCCAGATTCGAGCTGCTCAGAAGACGCTTTTATAGAAGTCTGACCGAAGAACAGCCTGTAAGCCACTGAGGAAATCAGGGATTTTCGGAGTACGATGTGGAACTCCGGTATGGGAAGGTATAATGATATCCAGCACAACGAGTATCTGGAAGAATTCGTTCCAGGTGATGAAGTGCATCATAATTTCCTCTGAACCCGAATTTGAGAAGATAGTTTTCTATTTGCCTAATTGGAAAGCGGTAAAGCCTGATGGAGTTTATAGCTTCTTCATTAAGAAGTGCATTTCTTTGCATTCAGACCTGTACAAAATAATAAGAAGGATTGTCTGGATGGGGAGGAACAGGATCCGTAGTTCTATAAAGGTACTACCTACCTGATTCCAAAAGGTATCTCAAGTAAAGGCAGCGACTTCAGGCCAATAACTTGTATGTCGAACCTTTACAAGTTAACAACGAAATACGTGATTCGCGTCATGCAGTTAGATGTTGCCATGAGAAACCTGCTTGCAGACTATCAATTATGAGTTGTTACCCAGATTCAAGGTGTGAAGAAACAAGCAATGTTGAACCTGGCGGTTTGCAAAGAGTACGGGAACCAGCTTTACACAACGTGGTATGACATCAAAAAAGCATTCGATTCAGTTAATCATGAATACCTGATTAAGTGCACTGAAAGACTTAACATGACATCGTGGATCAGCAAGTTTCTGAGAAGCATCATCTCCAAATGGTCGGTTACATTGAAAAGT